GGTGTTATAGCTCTCTGTCTCCTGGGTGTAGGAGGTTCTCAGTGCAGGGACTCTGCATCCAAAGGATGCACTTCGCTCCTGGCTCTTCTTTCTTGGTGGTAGCGAGGTCCCTCCTGTCTGCCTCTGGAATGGCTTATTTTAAGCCTATCAGGATGGTGAAACTGACCAATCCCCTTGTTAGGATTCCGTATACCTTATTTGCATGGTCCCGCTCCTGCAAGGGTGCCAGGCACCTTATTTGCATTATTAACAAACTGCCCAATTCTTTTGGTGGGCCACAAGTACCTTATTTGCATAGTCCCACCTAGTTATTTGATGGGAGTTACAAGACTGTGGCGAGAAAGGCCATAGAAAAGCGATCCATCCCACCGTAGCAACCTAGTGTGTTAACCATTTGCAGCACCTAGAGACACATAAAGGACAAGATAGTAAACATTTTAGGCTTTGTGGACTACACAGAGTTTCTGTCTCTCCTCCTCCTCCTTCTTCTAATGTGAAAACCATTCTTAGTTTGAGGTCTGTTCAATAATAGGTCACGGCCTAGATTTGGCCCACTGGCCATAGTTTGCGGGCCCCTGCTATAATATATGGTTATCTATTGTGAACCTAACCACGTGAAGCCCGAAAAGAACCGGTGAACATTCCTTCATTTCTCTGATTGTCTTCTGCTTTCTGTCAACATGCACCACACAAATACGTGCACTTCCTGTGGTTGTGATCTGCTTATCTTGCATTCTCCCTCTTTTTTTTTTTTTTAAACCTGATGCACATTTCTGCATTCTTGTGGATCTCCTTAGCCCCCATGAGGCTGAGACTCAGTGCAATATAATTGCACTTCCTTCTGTCCTTGGATACCTGCATTGCATTTGCCCTGGGTAAATATTTCCCGGGCTGTGAATAGGTAACTAAATTCTGAAGCTTTTATGGCCCTGGATGCTTATCCAGGTGAAGGTATGTGAGTTCATGATGACCTGGATGCAGAAGAAACTGGGGCCTTAGCAGTGAGGCAGTGGGGGAGGTGGAGGAGGTGGTAACCCCCCACCAAGACGCCGCCCTCGGCAAAGAACCTCTTTTGGAATTGCCAGTCCTCCTGACCTCCTCCGGAATTTTTACAATCAAGAGACCTTCCTTTGCACACACAATGAAGGGTGGGGCACAGTGGCTTCACAGCTTGTGTGCGTGCATGCACATGGGCACGAGCTTGGGCGTCCCCTGCTTTGGGGGTCGGTGAACTTTTCTCCTTAGTATTACCTAGTTGATTGGTCAAGATGCTCTGGAGATCTAGGCATTTGGTCTCCCACTACTTGTAGGGAAGGGGTTGGGGTGTGAGCTCTGGCATCAGTTTATCTGGGTGCAAATCCTTATCAGCATGAGTCAGAATCAACTTGACAGCAACGAGCTAGAGTCCCTGGGTGGTACACATAGTCACCGGGCTTGGCTGCTAACCAACAGGTCGGACGTTCAAGTCCACCCAGAGGCACTTTGGAAGAAAGGACTGGCAAGCTACTTCCTAAAAGTCAGCTATTGAAAATCCTGTGGAGTACGGTTCTAATCGGACACACGGGGTTGCCGTAAGTCTGAATTGACTATGATGACTAGTTCGGGGGCAATTCTGTGCTTCGGTGTTTTCATCTGCAGAATGGGGGCACTAAATGAATAACGTCTTCAGGGTTGCAATGAGGAATAAACAAGAAATTGTGAAAATGCCTGGCGGTGAGTAAGTAATTGATAAAGGTTATCAGTTTGTGATTTCTGCTTCCAGATTTAAAAAAAAATAAAATGGGGCAGGTGGGGGTCAAAGGTCAGCTCCATCTTGATCCTTTCTACCTTTGGGGCCATCTCAGGCTCTAGATTCTTTCAGACTCACCCTTGGAATCAGCTGGAAAAGGAATTATGGCTAATTCCGAAAGGGCTGACACAAGACTGGCAGGGTTCAGCTGGCAGCAGCATTGTTTTGTGTGACTGGCCCTGTTTTTCCTCAGAATTCTGATTAAAAAGAAAACTTCAAAAATCAAATTAAAAAAATCATAGAGATGATAAAAGATCTCCAACGGAGAACCGGGTTTCATCATCTGTCCCGGGAGCGAGTGGGGGCCTCTGGCAGGCAAGGTTTAGAAATCCCAAAGCTAGGCCAGCCGGACCGCTCCGGGTGCCTTGGTCGACACTGCCTCCTAGCGGCCACCGGCAGCACTGGGCGCTGTAGGCGGGAAGGTGCCAACGCCTTAACCCCCTAACTCAGCGCGTCGCCTGCCAGGAGACGACGTTGCTTTTTGAAGATGGGTGGGCTGAAGACTTTCTGTCTCTTCAGCCTCCTCCCTCCCGTGCCCTCTGATGATGTCCTCTCCATTCCTGCCTTCTCTCTGCACGTCCTCCACTTCCGTTCAGCTGCTGCGGGTGTTGTGGCCCCACCCGAAAGCTGCAGGCAGGGCGTCCTTTGGGGGTTTTATATGCACAACCGACACATCTTTCTGATGAGTTCTATTCTTAGAACATTTTGCTCTTGTGCTACTTAAAAAACGAATCAACAGTAGTTTTGAGCAGCTAACGCTGTGTGTGGCCTGTGCAAGGGCCCTGATGTGGGAAGGGGTTGGGTCGTTTAAAAAATAAAGTGCATGCAGGAGAGGGGGGTGTTGAACAGGGAAGGGGGATGTTGAGCAGAATGAGCAATGGGGACAAGCATGGGAGATGAGAGCCCTGTGATGGCCTCATTCTGGACTTTGCATATCATCATATAAGCGCTGGGAAGCTTTGAAGGATTAAGGGAGGGGCAGGTGGAAGAGGTTTGCATTTGATAAAAAGTACTCTGGCTGCTGTGTGGAGAATGGATTGCAGGGGGTTAGAGTGTGAGCTGGGAGGCCAGTTAGGAGGCCTCTGTGGTTGTACAGGGGAGAGATGCGTGGTGAGGACGAGAGGGCCCTCGTGAACATGGAGAGAAGTCGATGATCCCAGACATGCTTTGGAGGTAGACTTGGTTCACCTGGATGTGATGAGTCGGGAGACAGAAGGGTCAAGAAGGACCTCATTGAGATTAGGAACACTATGAGAGGAGCAGGCTGAAGAGGGAGTCAAGATTTCTGTTGGCTCTGTGGATTTTTAGATGTTGAGTTGATGGTAGGATGTAAGGGGAGACGGCTCGGCTCTTTTGGCAACAAGTAATGGAAACCTAGAGGAAAGGAACTTCAGAAGCGTTCTGGGTTTTCTCCTGGGGCCCATGTACAGTGGAATGAAACGCTGCCCGTCTTGCACCATCACCATGACTCGTTGCAGACGGGACCGTTGTGCTCCATAGGGTTTTCATTGGCTGATTTTTGGAAGTAGGTCACCAGGACTTTCTTTCTAGTCCATCTGAATTTGGAAGCCCTGCTGAAACCTGTTCAGCATCATAGCAACAAGAAAGCCTCCAATGACAGATGGGTGGTGGCTGTGCATGAGGTGCATTACATTGGCTGGGAATCGAACCAGGGTCTCCAGCATGAAAGGCAAGAATTCTACCACTGAACCACCAGTCACCCCTCTTGGGTGGTATAAATATCTTGAATATTTCCTTTTCTACCAGGAAGCAGGACCCTGAAGGGACTGGAACAAAACAATTCGTTTCATCACTAAAGGATGGGGGTGGCTCAGCCTGGGTCAGCCTGAGGTTAGCCACTGCCCCATACGACACTCTCCCCACCAACTGGTCACCTTGGAGCAGGCCCTGGGCACATTCCCAAGTTCACTCTTTGTCCGTGGAAGGGGGTATGTGCCGGAGGATGCCCTTACTTCCTGAGACTAGCCTAACTGGTGGACTGGAAGTGAGCTGCTGGCCTGGCCCCTCCTTGAGGCTTTGTTTGCATGATTGCTGTTTTTCTCTTTGCTCTGGTTCCGCTTACCCTAGCGGGGGCTGACCCTCTCCTGTGACTCATATGTAGAGTAGAACTGCCCCATAGGGTTTCCTAGGCTGTAATCTTTATGGAAGGAGATCTCTAGGTCTTTCTCCTGGGGAGCCATTGGGTGGGTTCGAACTGCCAGCTTTTTGGTTAGCAGCCGAGTGCTTAACCACCAGTGCTTAACCAACCAGTGCTCCTTGACCCTCTCACTCTAGCAGGTAAATAAAAATGAGGCGGGGCTCACAAAGGTGAGATGCTGACAGTTTATTATCAAGAGCAAGATGGAGAGGCTGGTGGAGATGGAGTAAGGAAGCGTGGGGAAGAGGGGCAGCAACAAGGACTCTGCGTTCAGCAGTTGGTGATCGTTGGCTTCAAAATCCCATGGGCTTTGGATTCCTAAATCTTAACTACACTGTGGGCTGGTTACTATTCTCTCTTAAAAAAAAAAAAAAAAAGATCAGTGAATGAACCTCATGGTTAGGTGGACGTGATGATACAGAAACTCTAAAGTCAAGTAGGAGGCTCGGTAAACTCTGAAAGGGGCTAAGGTTGTAAGGGTTTTGCTTATTTCACAAAAGCCTCGCAAAAAAAGTAAGAGAGAAGCCGGGACAAATGTCCTCAGAGACATTTGCATTGTGACTCTCTTCTTTCCACTCTGGATTAGAAAAACTAAAACCAAACGTGTCGTCGAGTTAATTCCGACTCATGGCGACCCCATGTGTTACAGAGTAGAACTGCTCCATAAGCTTTTCTTGGCTGTGATCTTTATGGAGGTTCCTGGGTGGTGCAAACGTTAAGCGTTCGACTACTAGCCGAAAGGTTGGCGGTTTGAACCCACCCAGAGGTGCCTCAAAAGTAAGATCTGGTGATCTGCTTCTGAAAAGTTACAGTGTTGAAAACCCCATGGATTTTCTACTCTGCACACCTGGGGTCACCATGAGTTGGAATCAACCTGATGGCAACTAATAACAACAACAGTCTTCATGAAAGCAGATCACCAGGACTTTCTTCCTTGGAGGTGCTGCGTGAGTTTGAACCGCCAACATTTAGGTCAGTAGCCGAGCACAAACTGGGCCACCTGGGGATCTTTGGATTAGAAAAGCACCCCCCGCAAAGGGGATGACACTGCAGCTAAGGGACTTTGGAAACCCACTTCTCATAGTGTAAGCGAAGGAAGCTGTTTACCGTGAGCTTCATGAGGCTATTTTTGACATTCTGGGAGAGGCTGTCCATCAGTTTCTTCATCTGGGTGCTGGCATCTATCATGTTGGGATCAAGGTTGAAAGGTAGAATTGCAGCTTCAAAACCAGAAAGAGTGCCCATGAAGAGGTGTTCAATGACTTTTAGAAAGCTACGGCAGACTTCTGCAGAAGCTGAAGCACACAGAAGGGAAAACGCATGTATCCAGGCCACTTCCCAAGCCGGCCAGGACTTTGGCCGGGCCTTGCCCCAGAGCAAACAGCCAGGCTGGTCAGCAGGGGTGGCAACCTTTTCACCCATGGAGTAGCATATAAGCTCGGTCTCTGGGGATGATTAAGGCAGTTGACTCATGGTGCTGTGTGGATACTTCCTGGGTGACAGCCAGCTTTATGTGGCTTTCCTGAACCTTCCTCGGACTTCCTGGGTTGGGGTGGGGCCAGGTGCCATTTATTCTAGCTGCTGGAGTGCTAGGCAGAGTATTGATAATGGAAGCTGCTGATCTGATTTTTCATGTTGTGTGTGGGCTGCAGGAGAAGCAGTTTGGGGAGAGGCCAGTGAAGACTTTGGCACCTGCCTCTCACCAGTGGTTAGTGATGGTCCCAACCTCATGGGCAAAGTCAGGCTGTGGCAGGAAGAAGCACTTGTACCAGACAAGCATGAGCCCCCAGCCCTGGCCCGGAAGAGGTGGGCACACTTAGGTCTTGGGTCCAGTGGTATGTTATGCCACAGACAGACATGCCTCTCTATCTATCCCTTGTTCGCTTCACCCTTAGTGATCTCCAGACTGTGCTCCTGTCTCAGATCTCTGCCCCTAGGAACATGAGCGAGAGTCACCATTTCTCACTCTCTGCCCACCCCATCCTCTTACTGAGGCTCAAGTACCCTCTCCCTGGATTCTCTGCCTCGTGTTCAAATTCAGCTTCCCTGCTCCAAACCCAGGACCACACTCAAGGTGATCACTCCAAGTCAAACCCTCTCCAGATCTTAGATCACTGTTTTACAACTCCCTATGTCGTCAAGCAAGTTACTTTACCTTTCTGTGGCTCAGTTTTCTCATCTATAAAGTGGGGGTAATAGCCCTACTTCATAGTGGTATGGGAAGGAAAAGATAATACATGAAGGGGATTAAGAACACTGACTGGCACACTATCAGAGCTAAATAAATGTTAGATATTGTTATTGTTATATGTATACACTCACAAGTACACCAATGCATTTCAGACCCACCCTGGACATGTTTTGGTTCTCTCTCACTGAGCCACTCTCTGCTATCCACAGCTCTGAGATCTTCTAACTAATGTACATGTCAATCCAAAGTTGAAGAACAAATACACTTCTGAACAAAATAGTTGTCCACGCTGCCTCTTGGTTTTAGTTTTCTAACCCCCCACCCCAACTCCAGGGTCATGAAACTTATCATTTCCATGAGTATCATGATATTTTCAAAGTGATTAACTGGAATTTGTTTATTAAAAAAAAAAAGCTGCATTTTCAGATGGGGGTGGAAAAGGCTGATGCAGAGTGAAAAACAGGGTTGAGTAACTCAATTCCCAAAAGATCAGGGGGCTTGGAGAGAGGTAGGAATGATCTATCCCCCCTCCCTCCTTATCTCTCTCCCTCTTTCCTCCCATCTACTCACCCATCCATCATCCACCTTCCTGTCCATCCATCCATCCATCCATCCATGCATGCATCCATCCATCCATCCATGCATCCATCCATCCATCCGTCTTTCGTTTCCTTCCTTCCTTCCATCTACTCACCCACCCATCATCGATCCATCCGTCCATCTCTCCTTTCCTTTCATCCTTCCTTCCTTCCTCCCCTCCCATCCTTTTCCCCTGAGTGACAGCAGCAACTACTCAGAGACTCCTAATCCTTTTTGCAGAGAACAAAAATGTTTAGAACACTCCAATCTGGCTTGGCTCTTTCTCAAACGGAAGATCGCTTTCTGGACTATTCCTCTATGCTCAGAGTGGGAGACCTTGCCTGGGATTGTGTTTCTTCTGGAGATGTGAGGCTCTGCAGCTCCCCCTTTCCAGTCCCTGTGGCTGCCAGAGTTGGGTAGAGAACCCAGACCTGCCAGAATGGGGTGGAGACCCTAAACCTAGAGGCTACACCAAGGTCTCTTGGAATCCTGGGGTTTGTCAAGTCTCAGTTTTGGGGAGCTCATGATTCCTATTCCACTGGTTGTTGGACGCTCTCATCGTTATGGGGTCTCCTGCATCCCTCCCTCCAGTTGATTCCATTCCCTGGATTCGGAGGTTGTTGGATATGGAAGACGGGGTCATTTCAGGTTTCCTGACAGCCTCAGACCTTCAAATGGGCCTGCTCACCAGACCTAGCTCCCTGGCTGAGAGTTGGCATTCTCAGACTCTCCCAGCAGCCAGCGAGGGTGTGGGCAGCTGGCTCCCTCTCCTGAGCAGAAGCAGGTGGCAGTGAGAGTTCCAGAGCCCAGGTATGGAGGAAGGGACTCGGAGCACTCACCAGAGCTACAGCAGAGAGCCAGGGTGACCAGGGCGAGCAGGACAGCGAGCTTCATGGTGGCGGGAGGCTGGGTGAGGCTCTAGCTCTGTCTTGGTTCTGATGGTCTTTTTGAGACCTGCTCCCCAGGGTTGCCTCTTATATGCTGTAGGCAGTATCGGGAGGGAGGAGGGCAGGGAACGGGTTCCACTCATGGTGACCCCACTATTTACTCAAGCATCTGCTGGGGGCAAAAGTAAATATCATCTTTTCTCAACCCAGTTTCTGTCCTCGTGAAAACTGAGCTCACACAATGGGCCACTTGGGGGGAGTCCAGAGTCCTACAAGGAGGCAACAAGGGGAACCCTGAGTCAGAGGGAATGGAGACACGGCCACCTGCGTCACTCTTTCAATCTGTGTACTGGGGTGGGCCAGGTTCACAGAAGTGATTTTAGAGCCCACCTAGACCAATCACCCCGGGAGAAATTGAGACCTGAGGCTCCTCAGTTAGTGACAGGGACAGCACTAGAACTCAGGACCCCAAACACCCTGTTGGGCTCCTTCCAGTTCTCCTCTTTAAGGAAGGCATCTAGACCTCAAACCATGAAGGTAACATGGTCCGGAGCAAAACTGTGTTCAGACTTGAGGGAGACCATGGATTGAAGCACACAGACAAATAAAGGACTTCTCCAGAATGCCCACCAGAAATCCCAATCCGAAATCAGGAAGATAATGCACTGTTTCAGGCTGGTTTGTTCCCACCCAAAACTGTGCTGAAGTCCTGCCCTCCTGATGCCCAAATCGGGGGCACCTTCAGTCCTTATCTTGCTTGACCTCTTGATAGCCTTTGACTTTCTTGACTGTTTCCTTCTTGAACCATTCTCCCTCCTGGGCTCCCATGGCTCAGTTCTTTCCTGTTTTCCTTCCTCCTTCTTGCTCTTCAGATGCCTATTCTTTGCTCACTCCTCTTAAGTGTTGGTGTTTCCCAGGCTTTGTCCTCAGACCTCTTCTCCTCTCAGGTTGCCATGTCCTGTGATTGCTCCCTCCCTTCTCCAGGGCCAATGCCTTACAAAACCTGGCCTAGTCAAAATCACTCCTAAGGCCTCCCTGCCTCCTAGCTTCCCCTTCTCAGCTACCCTCTGGAAGGCCATCAGAGTGATCTTTCTAAAATCCACTGATCACGCCATTCTCCTTCTTGAAAACCCTTTAAAGCTTTCCCTTGCCAACAAGATAAAATTCAAGCGTGACTTACAAGGCTCTTGACCACTGACCTTTGCCTACATTTGAGCCTCATCCCTCCACTCCCCCACTTGGTGATTTTAGCCTGCCTTGCTATTTGTGGGTTCTGGAACATTCCTTTTTTAAAAATTTTTTCCCATACAAAAATTTATACATACATTGTTATGTGACTCTAATTGCTCTCCCCATACCGTGACAGCACACTCCTCCTTTCCACCCCTGATTCCCCATGTCCGTTCAACCAGCTCCTAACCCTCTCTGTCTTCCCATCTCACCTTCAGACAGAAGCAGCCTATTTAGTTTCTTGTATCTACTTGAGCTAAGAGGCACACTCCTCACGAGTATCACTTTATGTCCCAAAGTCCAGTCCAATCCCTGTCTGAAGAGTTAGCCTCTGAAATTGTTTTAGTTCTGGGCTGAAACAGAATCCAGGTGCCATGCTTTCCGGGATTCCTCCAGTCTCAGTCAGACCATTATGTCTGGTCTTCTTACTAGAATTTGAGTTTTGCACCCCACCTTTCTCCTGCTCCATCTGGGACTCTCTGTTGTGTTCCCTGTCAGGGCGGTCATTCGTGGTAGCTGGGCACCATCTAGTTCTTCTGGTGTCAGGATGATGAAGTCTCTGGTTTATGTGGCCCTCTCTGTCTCTTGGGCTACTACTTTCCTTGTCTTTGGTGTTCTTCATTCTCTTTTACTCCAGGTGATTGGGACCAATTGATGCATCTTAGACGGCTGCTTGTAAACTTTTAAGACTCCAGATGCCACTCACCAAATTAGGATGCAAAACATTTTCTTAATAAGCTTTGTTATGCTGATTGACCTAGATGTCCCCTGAAAGCATGGTCCCCAGACCCCTACCCCTGCTACTCTGTCCCTCGAAGTGTTTGATTGTACTCAGGAAACTTCTTAGCGTTGGTTTAGTCCAGTTGTGCTGACGTCCCCTGCAGCGTATGCTGTCCTTCCCTTCACCTAATTCTTGTTTACTATCTAGTTAGTGAATAACCCTCACCCTCCCTCTCCACCCTCATAACCATCAACGAATGTTTTCTTCTGTGTTTAAGCCTTTCTTGAGTTCTTATAATAGTGGTCTTATACAATATTTGTCCTTCTGTGACTGACTAAATTCACTCAGCATAATGCCCTCCAGCTTCCTCCATGTCATGTTTCACAGCTTCATTGTTGTTCTTTATCATTGTGTAGTATTCCATTGTGTGGATATACCATAATTTGTTTATCCATTCGTCCGTTGGTGGGCACCTAGGTTGTTTCCATCTTTTTGCTATTGTGAACAGTGCTGCAATGGACAGGGGTGCGCATATATCTATTCATGTGACGGCTCTTATTTCTCTGGGATATAGGGAACATTCCTTTTTGTCCCCATGCCTTTCTACCTTTGCACAAGTTAACCTCATGCCTGGAATACACATCTCCTCCCTTGTCTGTGCCCTAAATTCTATTAGTACTTCAAGACTCAATCAAATGTCAATTCAGTAGAAGAATTTTGATCAAAAGGGGAAAAATGCAGAACAGAATTTCAAATTCTCATGGACTGTAGAATTTCTGGAGACATGGAGGCTGGATGAACCCCTGAAACTATTGTCCTGAGATAATCTTTAAACCTTAAACCAAAAATATCCCCTGAGGTCTTTTTAAAACCAAACAGTAGTTTAGCTTAACTAATAAAAAATCTCTGCCTTGAGCATTATGCTCTTTTAAGAACTATCTATATGGGATCAAATTGATAATAGCAACTCGAAAGATTAGTAAGAACCTTAGGGGGCAGTGAGTTTATATTAATGGGGGAGGAACAACTCAGAAAAGGAGGATGAAAATGTTTGCACAACTCAAAGAGTGTAATCAATGTCATTGAATTGTACACGTAGAAACTGTTGAATTGGTGTATGTTCTGCTGTGTATATTCTCAACAACAACAAATTAAATAAAATTAAAGAAGAAGAGAGTACAGTCAGCAATTAGAATGGTATAGTTTAATTAAAAAATGTCACTTCATTCATTCAATAAATGTTGGGCACCCACTATAGGCCAGGCTCTGTGCTAAGAGGGGAGCCCTGGTGGCACAGTGGTGAAGAGCTCGGCTGCTACTCAAGAGGTCGGCATTTCAAATCCACCAGCCAATCCTTGGAAACCCTATGCGGTAGTTCTATTCTGTCCTATCGGGTCAGTGTAAGTTGGAATCAACTCGATGGCAATGGGTTGTTTGTTGTGCTAGAAGTGGGAGTTGTGGTAGACACAGGGATGCACTGCCCATATCTCCTTCAAGAACAGCTTGCTGCCCAGCTGTGGAGAGTGTGGCTAGCAGAGAGCTTCCAGCTGCCAGTAGCTTCGGGGTCAGCCCCAGCTGCCGGGAGCTGCCTTGCCCAAGGCCACACCTTCCCCAGAGCTGATGCATCCGGTGACCCAGCAAGAGGGGGATTTAAAAGCCAGGGCACTTCGGTGCCATGTGGAAAGCCACCATGTGGGAAGCCACCGCAGGCAGTTCTCACTCGGCACTCCATGCCCAGTTGGCTGTGGTTTTCCGGACCTGCCCGGCAGTTCGGCTCTTCCTCTGCCCAGTCCGGCTTCCGCTCCTGTCCGTTCACAGGCGTTGGTCCTTAGTAACAATCTTGCACTCCAAACCCCACCTCAGCACCTGCTTTCAGAGACCCTGACCCACCGCAGGGTACAGCAATGAGTGGACCTTGCCCCTGGTGGAGCATCACTCTGGTGGGGGAGACAGACAAGTAGATCATTAAACAAATGAAAGAATCACAGCTCGTGGTCACGCTAGGGAGGAATGTACAGGGGGCTAGGATAGAAAAAAAATAAAAGGAGTGAGACCCACATAGATGGGGATCAGGGTGGGCTTCTCTGAAGAGGTGACGATGCTGAGACCTGTAGGTGGAGAAGGTTTGGGCAGAAGTGACACCCAGCAGGGAGGCCCTGAGCTGGGAAGGGCCTCCGTGTTCCTGAGGAACACAAGGGAGGCATTGTGCCTGGAGGAGGGAGAGTGTGTGAGATGTATAGGGCTGGCAGGGGTGAAATCATGCAAGGCGTGGTGCTAAGGTGAAGAAAAAAACGAAAGAAAACAACAGTTGATGTCGAGTCAACTCTGACTCATGGACCCCCTGTGTGTCAGAGCAGAACTGTTCCATAGGGTTGTCAATGGCTGATTTTTAGGAAGTAGATTGCCAGGGCTTTTTTCCAAGGTGCCTCTGGTCGGATTGGCACCTCCAACCTTTTTGTTAGTAGCCAAGTGCGTTAACCATTTGCATCACCCAGGGACTCCTCATACTGAGATAGTTGGTCTTTATGCTCTGAGGCGTGCGGAGCTCGTGGAAGGTTTTAATCAGGGAGTGACATGATCTGACTTCCTTTTGATGAGATGACCCTGACTACTTTGAGGAAAGGAGATTAGTAGTGGGGGTTGGGGGTAGGGGGAGAGTGTTGTCTGGGGGCAGCTCAGCAGCCTTTGTAGCCATCCATCTAAGAGATGATGACAGTGGGGATGAGGGTTCTGAGAGATACCTGGACAGGCTCGATGCTGGAGGGGAAGGGGCGGGGGAGGGAGAGGGAGGTGTCAAGGGCGACTCCTGGGTTTCTGGTGTGGGCAACTGGGTGCATGGGGTGCCATTTTATGACATAGAGAGGACCCAGGGAGGAATAGGGTTGGGGATGGAAACAGAGTGAAGCCTTCTCCAACCTCCTGGTTCCAATCAGTGATAACTCTCACTGCGTGCCTGTCCACACTCTGTTATAGCAGCCACTACACTATATTGAAAAGAAGCCCTGGTGGCACAATGGTTACGTGCTTTGCTGCTAACCAGAAAGTCGGTGGTTTGA